AGCGGCGGCGGCCGGGCGGCGGCCGGGGAGAATCGGGTTGGAGCTGCGCGGAGCGGAGCCGGAGCTGGAGCAGCTCGCTCGCTGCTCGCTGACCCCACACTCACTGACAGCCCAGCACCCTGCGCTCGCGCTTCCTACTCTGGGCGGCAGAGGCGGCCCGGAGCGGCGCGGCCCACCGCGCATGCCCCGAGTGCGAAAGCCGCGCGTGCGAGTGCGGGGCGCGCGCGAGATGGGGCGCGCGCGGGCTGGGGGCGCGCGCGGGCTCGTGTGGCGGGCGCTACTAGGCGCGCCTCTGGAAGGGCGCGGGCGCAGCAGGACTGGCGCATCCGCGTTTTCGGAGCAGCCCGGAAAGGGGAGGTGGCGGCGGCGGCGGCCGGGGAGAGCCAGCCCGAATTTGGGAGCCGAGGAGGATCCGGGAGGGGCGGGTCAGGTCTCCTACGCCGCATTTTTCTTTTCCTCCGCTCTCCTGTCTCTCGCCTCCTCTTCTTCCGCTCCTCGCTCTGTGCCTTCTCCTCTCCTCATCTTCCTCCTCCCACTCTCTCTCTCCTGCTCATCTCTCTACTCCTCGCCCCGCTTTTTCTGCTCTCTGGGGTCGGAGTTCTGCGCCAACCGCGCGTGGTGGAAAGGAGCCCCGAGTCCCAGAAGGGGTCCCCGCACACCTTCCCCTCGGGCTGTCGGTCCGACCCGCCTGCAAGCTCACCTTCTCTCCTCCGGCCACACATACACAACAGGTGCCCTTTCCCCATCTCCCGGTCCCACCGGTACTTTTAGGGCACGATGCCCATGTTTATTAGGCTGTTCCAGTTTGAGGTTTTACGTGGCTAAAATGCCCAACCCCTAGACCTTCACGTTTTGTATACGTGGCAGGAGAAAGAAATCTTAACTGAACACTGACTCTTTTACCTACCTTCAATTGTTGACCTATATTTCACCTACTTATTCTATAGGAGACGTACATCTAATTTGTACGTCAGATACTATCACCACTCAGGACGGTTAAAGGACTTGTCCTAGTTACTTATCCCGTTATCTATTGGCTACTGCAGCTACAAAACTGATTATCAGGCTTTCCTGATTTTACAGGAGAGTCCAGAACCTTAATTTAGGGATCAGTTTGCATCCTAATTACTGCAATACTGGCAGATGAGGAGTGCAGCCAGAGTATTTATAAATTACAAAAACTGCTTGCGAAAGGGTAGTTGGCATGGATAGGCAAAGGACTAAGGACGCACGTGGGGATGTATCAACTAATCACTTGCTGAATATTTATTAGTTCTGCCTCAAGGATGCTAAAATGCCTGAGGGAGACGAGCATCTCCTATCGTTTCATTACTGCTTTATTTCACTGTCAGATTCACTATATTCACAAAAACAACTTCATGAACTGCAAACACCAGTTCAAGTTTCTTCAACAAAAAGAAAGTGCTGTTTAATCCCTCAAGAGATTTAATTTAAAAAAAAAGAAAAAACTTTTCTAAGATAATGTACTACCTTAGAGCATATCACTTAGACTAAGGAGGTCTGCCCATTTTTGAGACTGGTCAATTGTGACACTTGAAGATAAATAAGAATATCTTTTATATTTTAAACAGTGTAAGCTAGTGGCTGACCGTTGGAAGCAGGTGCACTTTGCTGACCCATTGACTTCTCTTGAGCCAACCATTGTTGGTGCTTGAAGAGGCTGCGTTTGTTTGATATCCTATCTGGTTAGAAATTCCCCCACTCATGGTGGCCCTTTACTCTGAGGAAGAAAAAAAAGGGAGAAGTCAGGAAAAGAATGAAGTGCAGGGCATGTCGGGAGCATAGATCAAATTCTCCACAAAACACTGTAAACTTCTTAAGCCATGGTTGTTTATTGCTTAATAATCAGTAATCAAATGCAGCACAGCAGAATGAGCCACACAATTCTTTCCTCATAGCCATCTTTATCTAAGACAATGGTCCTCACACATTTTATGAAGACAATTCTATTTCCCTGAAGCTATGACATAAAGATGGAAGAAAAATATGGGAGTTGGAGGGGGGTTGCTTGATAGTGCAAATCCTGAGCATAGTATCAGGGAAGAGGAGCTAAGGGCCAGCCTTGGCAGGTGCCCCACCTTCTCCTGTGTAAGGAGTGGAGTAATTGCTTTTAGCAGTCAGTAAGCCAGATGGAGACAATGTGTCTCTTTCTTTTTAGGTAATGGCTTTGCTTTCTTGCCTAAGTTATTACTATTGTTTATTATGGGTAAAGGAAGAAATGGCTATCTGAAGTCTGTTGATTGGTAGTGGGGCTGGGCATGAGTGCATCAGTGTCTGCACCTTCCCTAGTTGAGGGGAGGGTACACCTGGAGCAGGAAATTGCCAAGCAGTGTTACACTGCCCCTAGCAAGTACTGGAAGGAGCACTGGTGGCTCAAAGGTTGAGTTCTCAGCTGCTAATAGGAAGGTTGATGGTTTGAGCATACTCAGTGGCTCCATGGGAGAAAAACCTGGCAATATGCTCCAATAAAGATTACAGCATAGAAAACCCTGTGGGGCAGTTCTACTCTGTCACATAGGGTCACTATGAGTTGAAATCATCTTGATACCACCTAACAGCAACAATGACTGGTGGGGATCTGGGTCGTGATTTGCCGTTGCAGCCCACCTGAGAAGTCCCCATGGAATAATTACAATGGAGGGGATTAAGGAATGGAGAAACCCTGGGGCGGTAGTGGTCAGTCTGTCATGAGCATTAGTGATTTTTTAGAGTCTGCTGCTTCATGGGGAAGTTGCAGCAAAGAACAAGGAATGGTAGACTGAACACAGACTTGGTCAGAATTCTCCCCTTTCTCCCCTGCCTTTGAGGAGCCAACTCAAGACCCTTTGAAGAGGTATTGCCTAGACCAAAACCAAACCAAACCCATTGCCATCAAGTTGATTCCAACTCATAGTGACCCTGTAAAGACAGAGCAGAACTGCCCCATAGGGTTTCCAAGGAGCAGCTGGTGGATTCAAACTGCTGACCTTTTGGTTAGCAGCCGAACGCTTAACCGCTTGCGCCACCAGGGGCATCCAAAACCTGGAGGCTAGGATCAATGTCAGGGCACTAAACTGATGATTCAGAACCAGATGGTTCAGTTAAAACCAACAGTCTTTAAGTTGTAACTGTAAAACTTGTTCTGTGTACAGAAAACTGGTCTGTTTTCAGGTGGTCCAAGTCATTGGGCAATAGAAATTGCTTAATTGTAGAAAAAGCTTAATTCTGAGATTTATAGTAATCAAGATGATTTAAAGGCTCACTTTATGTAATACACACTATATTTGTTTCTCATGTCCCTCAATGAGCATCAAACAAAATTCAATTCATAACCCCCAACCAGACTTTTTAATCCCCTTTTCTCTTTCTTCTCCCAAAACATTCAGTCTCACCAACCACATTGTCAGTAAGCCTTTCCAAAGCTACCCCAAAGATTCCCTCCTCTACCCACATCTCGACCAGCTTTTACTCCCTCTCCTCCCCTTTGTTATTTTTTGTATTCTCCATTATATATTACGTATTATATATCCTGTCACCATCAAGTCGATTCTGACTAATAGCCCCGCTATAGGACAGAGTAGAACTGCCCCATAGGGTTTCCAAGGCTGTAATCTTTACAGAAACAGACTGCCACATCTTGCTCCTGTGGAGCAGCTAGTGGGTTCGAACAGCCAAACTTCAGTTAGCAGCCAAGTGCTTAACCACTGCACCACCAGGGCTCCTATATATTATTTATGTACAGTATATTATCTACATAAATATGTATTATATTTATATAAAGCTACTATGTGTATTTTATATATTTACTTCCAACAAATCCTCCCTCCACATTTCCCTTCAGGGTAAGACCTTCTATATTTATTTTTTAATTTTGTACCACAAAACGTCTAGGAGCCAGTTTTAAACAAGGTAGGTTGGGATGAGAGTGGGCATCAGAGTAGCTGAGCAGAGAGTGGGGACTAAGCTGAAAATTACCAGATTCTTATTCATTCATTCAACAAATATTTTCTTAACTCCTGACAATGTGCCAAACACTATGCTCAGTCCTGGGAATATATCATATAGTGTGTACTGTATTTTTACTCAAATAATGCACACGTTATACATTTTTGTCCATCGAGTAACCCCTTGCATGTTATTTTCCTAAGGGCATCATGTGCGTTATACGTGTATCGTTATTTATGTGGGCACGTTATTCGCAGAAAAATACTGTATGCTATATATTGGTACAGTGTTGAGCAAAACACACGTTACTGTTGTTGGTTGCTACTGAGTCAATTCCAAACTCATTGTGGCCCCATGTGTTACAGAGTAGAACTATTCCACAGGATTTTCTTGGCTGTAATCTTAATGGAAGCAGCTCACCAGGCCTGTTCTTCACGGTTCTCCTGGCTGGGTTCAAACCACCAGCCTTTAGGTTAGCAGCCAAGCACAAACCATTTGTGCCACATAGGGACCAAGCCCCTGCCTTTGTGTAATTTACATTCTCTTTGGTGATTGGAGTGAGAGAGGGAAGTTTGTGGACAATCACATCTAGTAAAAGTTAGCCGATTATATACATTCATTTATATGTACTGTATATAGTAGTAAATTTAATACACATGCACAACCACCTCCAAAACTTTGATCCTGTTTTAGTTTGAATGTTTTTATCCTGTATACAGTAATGTAGTAAATACAACCCAAATCCTGCCAATTGGCACTGGGCAAAGAGTCAAGCAAAACTTGGAGAAGCAGCTCTGAAGGTATGTCCAGCAAAGTATGGGACGTAGAATACCAGCCTCCCTTTGGGTGGAGCTAGTAGACAAG